TCAAACCCACTATTTATTCGTTAAGAGTATCCCTAGAGTTGGCGGTGTGTAATGTTGACTAGCTGTTTTGCCTCTAAACTTTAACGTATAAATTAGAGACGACTATGGCAGATAGCTCTCGAGCAGCTTTGCGTGAAATTCAACTAATAATTTCATCATTTATTGTTAATACTCATTGTATTTTTTTTTTGTCTCGAGAAAATATATATTATACTGTACAGGATATCTTGTATCAATCGTTAGAATTTTTTAGTTAATTTTTTATTGATACAACGCAACGTTGAGCTTGATGTTAAAGTATTTTTAGCTTTAAAGAACGAAGCACGTTGTTACACAATGTTTATGTGCCACATCACTGAGCAACACTATAACTAGTCGATAAAATCTGCTGATATTATAATTCAACCTGGTTCGTTTTTTATTTTGAACAAAGAATTAGTTTAATAGCAAGGTTGGATCAAAATGTTCCTTCGGGCTATTTGTGTTTCAGTTTGAAGCAGACAACCCCAAGTGTGCGTGTGCTACAGAGTCAAACTCTAGGTCAATTTTAAAGATATGGGCTCTCTAATAGAGATTGGAGTCTTCCTTTAAATCAGATTAAGTATTACACTTTCACAAAGTCTGTCCTTGAAATAAATTAAGTACAGAACTCGTAAAAAAGTGCTTGTAGTCTTTTAAGTTCTAATTACTAAATACTACAGTTTGGCCAATGATAAAATAATCGTTGAAGAAATAACAACTCAGAAAACATAAACGTTGTAATTGTATTTCCAAGGTTTTAATTACAAGATAAAAATGCCTTAGAAATTTCAATTCGTAGCTTAAACTGCAATAGTATTAAAATCTTCTAATTTACTTTGAGTACCTGGTGCTAAGAATGAAAATAATTATAATGAAAAAGTGACGCAAATTATTGATTAATAATAACATATTGCAAAGTAAAGATGTTTGCCTCCCTGCGATCGGTGGTTTGGAACTAGAGAAAGCGCAATGCTAACTGGAATACGCAATGACAAACGTGCTGCGACAGGACATTAAAATCTGAGGATAGGAGAGAGCCTGTGCTTTGGCTGGCGCTAAGCTCTTCTATCGTATAAATAAATAACTAGTTTTCATTGCCGGTTTAATATGTGGTGTGGAAACCCTTTATCAACATAAAATTATTAGCAGATTAGATAACAACCGTACTAACTATTATCTGTAAGACCAATAAAACTGAAACCTGAAATTGCAAGTTTTAAAAAAGCGATGTACAAAACTGCGTACCTTTGTATTTCCTTAGATGAAGTTTGTTTGTTTGTTTCTTTTTGAATTTCGCGCAAAGCTACACGAGGGCTATCTGCGCTAGCCGTCCCTAATTTAGCACTAGAGGGAAGGCAGCTAGTCATCACCCCCCACCGCCAACTCTAGGGCTACTCTTTTACTCACGAATAGTGGGATTGACCGTCACATTATAATGCCACCACGGCTGAAAGGGCGAGCATGTTTGATGGGACTGGGATTCGAACACGCGACCCTCTGATTGCGAGTCGAGCGCCCTAACCACCTGGTCATGCCGGGCCTTTTGATGAAGTAAACGCCTGCTTAACTTCATAGATAAATACGTAAATAATTCATAGCTCGCTTAACCAGCTATAAACCTGTTGATTATTTAACTGCTAATACTATAAAGACTTCTGTTAAATTAAACATTTCAAGACTGTGCGATACACTAGTTAAAAATAAAGAAAAAAGATGCTGACGAGTTAATTAATTATCAATCTTATTTTTGTTTTCTGAGGAAGCAGGTTAGCTCAACACGAGCTTCCAAGAAATTTGTTTAAATAGTAGATGAATGAATAGTAAGAAATAACAATAAAATAGATTTGAGCATCTCGAACAGTTGAAATATCTATATAATCACTGATTAATCAATGTACGAACGTAAAAAGTATCGGTATGTTGCAATTGTTGCAACAATATATTGGTGAACAGCTATCTTTCACCAATTGTTGCAACAATATATTGGTGAAATGTATTTCACTGAAACACATACTGTATATTAGTTAAGTGAAACTGCTTGAAGTTAATTAAAATTATCAAATTATTACTCTCATTCGGTTATTGAGAGATAAGGGATTAAAAATTAAATATAACTAATCGCTGACTTTTTTCTTGTAAACTTTAAAAATGACAGTGTCTAATGCTTACTTGTTTCTTTGTTGTTGCTTTTTTTTTAGGGGGAAGCACTTAGCACATATAATTTCCTAGTTACTTTATCCATGCTCATGTAATCAACAAACTACATGAGATAACAAAATTATTAAAGTTTTTGTTTGTAGCCAAACATCGAATAGTGAAATAGAACAACCTACTTCAAAAGGTGTGATAAAAATGAATGATTTTAATTATTGCGGTTTGCTTTTAGAAACTGTAAACCAATGTAAAATAGGGATTGTAAGGTTAGGAATGGAATGTTGGTGTTTGTAATGGTGAATTATTTGAGTTGAGTAGTTGTATTGTAATGTTTAAGTTTTTCTGGAAATCTCGAAGAATCGCAACATTTTGTAATAAAGCTTATTTATCAAGAAACTATAATTACATTGTAAATTAAATTAATTATAAACTAAAGGATGGTACAAACACCACATAACGCATTCGTTAATTTTACCGATAAAAAGTAATAACACTAATAACACATCTTGTCATCACACTGAATGCACAGTAATTTAATATACACATGCCACTAGCACATTTCTTAGGTACCCCAAATCACGATAGAAGGCTTATGAAAGTTCGTCCACGACATTCCAAATATAGAAGAATTAATTTTACATTGAACACCATGGCCATTCCTGGTATAAAAGTCGTCCAGTAAAGCTTCCAAGCGAATATCATTTCAGACAAATAGCAAGTAAACAGAATCACCACTGTCTTTTTCATCACACACCTTGGTAAATCATTCGTCTAGTCAAGCTTCCAAAACTGTATCACTTCAGACAAGTAGTCTTGTATGTAAACAGAATCACCACAGATTATTGTAGGGTTACAGAACCACAGATTACTTACTGTATAGCTACATAACCACATATTATTGTGTGGCTACAGAATATATACCATTCCTGGTATAAAAGTCGTCCAGTAAATCTTCCAAATCACCACTTTCTTTTACACATTAATATTTTCTGCTTTATGCACAAATGAGGTTGCAATATTATTATAACCTACTAAATATAACATATAATGTATCAACTCTCCTCCAAGAAACAACCATGACGTAGAAATGTTTGACCACAGTCAAAGACCAAGAAACTTGAAATTGGGTTCATTAGTAAATGATAACAGAATCACTAGCTGTATGTTGGTCTCTGGACTCTTCCTGGCTAAACACAGTAACCTTTTCTTCTTAAACTAGCAAGTTTTTTGAAAATAATTTACATTATATTGTTTAGTTTGTAACTGCATTCCCGTAAATTAAGTGATATTCAGAAGATAATAAGTCTTTTAAAAATCGGTTTAATTTTTGGTGTGTTTTTATGTCAACTTTCAGTCTGCTAGTTGAAAGTTTTAAAAAATTGCACTAGTACTTAAATTTATTTTACAGTTTTTAAAACTTTTTAATGAACGATTTGGTTCTACAAAATCTCAATTTAGAATTATTATTTCAAAACAACAGTACATTGCATACAACGTGTTTTTGTGGAAGTAATTTGAAATGCAATCTATGTTTGACAATGCAGGTCTCTTTCGTTTACTTATCAGTCTGTTTTTGTATCCCTTTTCTCAAGAAGGATTGCAATTATCAATGATGAATTCTTCTTATATACTATTACGACAGCGGAAGTCACGTGACGCTGGTAACAAGTGATGAGATTCTAGAAGGATCATGAATTGTCCTGGCAATTCTAGTCGGTACCAAGCGCCCTCTTTTTTAGTATATAAGCCCAGCAAATAAAGCAGAATTAGATAGATATAGAGATAGATAATTGAGTCAAGCGAGCAGTAGGCACCGTAAGTAAAGTGCGTGAATCGTTGTGAATTATAGTGTGTGTTTATAAAAGTAGTTAACTTTAAAGTGATTGTGGAAAATCTTTGTATTGTAAAATTGTGTCGAGAAGGAATAAACTAGTTTTATTTAAGAAAGGACTTGTATCGCTGAACTTTTTCGGAAAGAATTTCTACGGGAAATTAACAAACAAACAGACGAAACGATACTGTGTGGTTTTCTTTATTTCTTAACAACCTGGAATAAGGCCCAGTTACAAAATTGAATAAACGGGATATAGTAAACATAATTTCGTATCTTATTAGACAATTTACTAAGATTTATTATTACAGCGCAACCTTGCAGGTTTAGTGGAGGATAAGTTTTTTGAATTGTCTCTTTCGAATATCTTAATATAAGACTTTGAGTTTGTTTGTTTAAACTGAACGGTAACTAAAATAAGAATAATTCTGACCGAAAAAGCGTGTCTGATATATACTTTAGAAACAAGAGCATTTTGAATTAAAAGTAAGGCACATCAAGACTATAACATTTCTAGCTGTGCAAAGCTCCCATACCATTGCATCACTAGTATTTTAAAATATAGTACGTTTATTGTGTTCAGACAAGTTAGGGGCTTTATTTTTATATGGCATTTCTAGGCGGTATAAACACCCCAAGTGTGTATTACCAAGTCAGTGCAAATACATTTGTGTAGGTGATGGTTTGGTGTTAATGATTTATTTTCTATTTATTCGATATTGCAAACATTTTTGTCAGCAACATGTTTTACTGAGAAATGCACGTAAACGTGTTGAATCCTTTTTTCCTTTTTTTTTGGTTTTAATATTATTTGGCCAGAAAGTTCTTGTTAAGAACAGTAGCTATAAAGTACTTAAGTACTAAGAATATATAAGCTCGAGCAGGTCGTCTTGAAGATAAGCTTTATCTGATTGGCGTACGCCCAAAGCAAGTGTTCGATTTCGTTTCTCGTGGAGCCCCGAGTTACACATGATTTAGATTTTAAAAGAATGAGTTGTGACAGAACCTGGAACGAAACCACTGATCGAACGTATAACTGTAAAGACTCCTTCATGTATTTATAATTCAGTCGGAAGATGTAATATTTTAAAATAATATATGTTCTAAACGTTTTTTAATGCTTCGAAATGTTAAAAGAAAAGGAAAAGAAATAACCATTTTGCCAATATTTTTAAGGGTATTTATACTTTTATAAGAGACAAACGAAAATAGCCATAATACTCATGCTATATAACTAATACTTTGTGTATTTAAAAATATATAATAACTTGAGTAACTTACAGATGTGGTTTAATTTGATAATGTTAACTGTAATGAGTTATGCACGTTAGATTGACAATGCCTACTTGTGGTTTTTCCCAGGCCTTGAAATACGACGCTCACTCTGTTTACTAGAGGCAATCCCCAGCTTCAGTGGTCAATCAGTTTGCGTGTGGTCAGCCTGGGCTGCACGTGTCCGTCTCGTGCTCTCACTGAATATAAGTTATTTTCAAACTCCTATGATCACAACAAAAATACAACCGATTTCGTCAACATTGAAGAGTTAATTTAAAATCATCCAAAGATAAAACAGCCCAGGCTGATAAAACGCACGTAGACGTAAAACAACAACAGAAGAAAGAAAAAAAAGGGATTAGAACAACAGAAAAGAAAGTGGACTTGTATACCAGTGAATTATCAAACAGTGACAATGGCAACCAAATTTACAACCTTGATCACACCTGTTTGTATCGTGGTTGGCTTACTTTTCCTTACAAGTAGGGCCGATTCCAGTGTAAGACTCTGTGGAAATCATCTCTCCGAAGCTCTGGCTTTGTTGTGCCGAGCTCATGGCGGGTTCTATTCACCACATTCTAAACGATCAGGTAGGATTTTTTTCTATTCTAAACGAACGTTTTAAGACCGCTTGAATAAGCATGTAACACAGAATCAATAAATAATATTACCTGTACGTATCTTGTTTGTCGCTACTTTCCATTATGTCTTGCATTTTAAACAGTTAAATTCTTATATGATAACTAGGGAGTCAGTTAATAAAATATATTGATAATAATATCAATTAATATAGATTTTAATGTTTTAACTTAAATGGGATGCACGATTTCTAAGGATTTATTAAGAAAATTAACTTACAATTATTTGAATAATCATTATATTAAAGAAACAACAGTACTTTTTTCAAGCAGGAATATCATAATATAACATTACAGTATCGGGCAGATTCTGCTAATAACAATAATATTTAATTGCCATTTTTTTGTAAATTAGTCTAATATACACATTTTTCGAGATATATGCCCTATTGAACAAATTAAATAATTGCCCTATTTAAAATTAGCTGTACCTTAATTTCAAACACACATGTTTGAAAATAATTGCCCTATTTAAAATTAGCTGTACCTCAATTTCAAACACACATGTTTGAAACAGCTTGAATCCTGGATAGTAGAGTAGATAATGTATCTTGGGTAGTACGTGATTCAAAACAACAACAATAACAAATATCCTACGGACAGTCGACCATTATGTAAGTTCAAAAACCACGTATCTGTAAATATATTTTAATTTCTATTGACCATATATAGTTTGTTTGTTTGTTTTGAATTTCGCGCAAAGCTACACAAGGGCTATCTGCGCTAGCCGTCCCTAATTTAGCAGTGAAAGACTCGAGGGAATGCAGCTATTCATCACCATCCACAGCCAACTCTCGGGCTACTCTTTTACCAACGAATAGTGGGATTGACCATCACATTATAACGCCCCCACGGCTGAAAGGGCGAGCATGTTTGGTGTAACGGGATTCGAACCCGCGACCCGCAGATTGCGAGTCGAGAGCCCTAACCACCTGGCCATGCCGGGCCACTATATTTAGTCTTGTAAAAATATATAAGTTAAACTGATAGAGCTTTTTCTATTCCTTTCTCTGTTTCTCTTTTTTTTTTTACCCCACCGATATCTTATAACGTAACCCTTTTCCCTTTTTTTGTTTGTAATATTTATGTTTCTTTAACCACGAGCTACCTACAGTGTAGGCAGTTAGATAACGTCCCTTTTTCATTTAGAAAGATTACAGATTTCTGGTTCGGATTTCCTCAAAATACAACGTCATGCAAATACAATTAAACAATAATGTGACTAACACTTAATGAGACAAGAATACGATCAATTATCGTGCTTTTCAATTGTACGATAACAAAATAAACAATAACACAAATTTAGTTTTTGTTTTTTCCCTCATTTCATTGGGTGTTACGAACTAGAGGGCGTGAATTAATCATATTCATGTTTATATTACTTGGTATGTCCTGTCAGAGTAGTTTCGATCTTCTGTCACGCTTCACAAGTGTATCTTCAAATTTAGAGTCTTAGAAGGACAGTGTTGTGTAAAACAGAAATATTTGCACAAGTTTGTACTACGAGTTGTACGTATTTCTAGGTATATTTCAAGTGTGTTAATATCAGAACCTTGAAAGATCATTACGGCTACGCTGCTGTTTGTTTCCTTTTTGTAAATAATCGAGACTTGCAACAATCAATCAATCGTTTCTGTTACCGTGAGTAACCGATGGCGGTCAAAGTCCACTGTATGTTAGATTTCAGTGTTACGAAATGTTGAACCTGAAGTCTAATTGGTCTTCGTGGTGTTTTTGTTTATCACCGTACATACGATAATTCAGCATTTTGATGCAAACTGATGTTCTTTAAATTGATTTATTAATGCATTATATAATAGAACTATTATACACCTCAAGTTTATAACGGTTCTGCGTTCAAAGTACGTGTTTCATTTTTAATCTAATATCTCAATGAATATGTGATTCGGAAACAAAATAAACTTTATAACTTCTTAATTTCGCTTTTCATGGGAATTTTCAGTACTTAACTGTAGTCAAACATAAGCCTAATAAATAAGTCGTTGATTAAACTACAATTAACATTGCATCCATACATTGGTACATCTATTTTGCTGCTATTTTAAATATATATAGTTTTTATAACTATGCATTGCCTACGCTTGATAATGTCGATTGCGATGTTAGCAAATTTTAAAATAATCATAATGTCGTCGTCTGCAATTAGTGACCTAAGTCACATGAAAGACGAATAATAATAATAGTTGGAGACGGCTTGAATGGGTAATGAAGAAAAACTTTAATATAAGTTTAACATAACAGCTAATGT